CTTTCTTCTCTCTCTCTCTCTCTCTCTCTCTCTCTCTCTCTCTCTCTATGCCGCGTCGTTTTGTTTTTTATGAAAAAAAATATCGCTATTCTTGATTTCCTCGGTTTTCATTACGACACTAATGGTCACTCCGTCGAACGTCTGCCGGCCTGGTTTCGAGTTTATCATGCGCGCATTAACTTAAGGTATCGAGATATTTGATGAGAGATTAACGAGTTGTATGTGCGAGGAATGAAAAAAATTGTTTCCGCTGCGCGGAGATTACCTGGAATTTTTAATAAATCGAGCGTTTGTTAACATTACGATCCGTCAGTTGTTGAGTCTTATCTGCGATTCTGCCACGCATCAGCTTTGCGATTATTATTTCTAGAAAACATCGCTGTGTAAGCGACCATTTTGGAGTTAGACATCTTGTTTCATGTCCATCAACGTGCCGTAACACAGTTACGTGCTTCATTTCTCGCGTATCTCTTGTTCAATTTAAACTTTTTGTCGCAGAATTCGACAAATGATTATACATTGCATAATGCAACGTATAATAATAATAATCGTTAACGTTAATACTAATTATAGTACACATACGCGCATATTTGTTCGGCATTACGGGTAAATATAATAAAGTAATAATGACATGCCGTGATTTTCGTCATCGGCGTAAACATCATTAGCCCGCATAAGTCATTCATAATGAAATTTCTCGATTGATTTACAACCAACCAAACCTGCAGGCGGAGTTGCCGGTGTGCGCGTTAATTGACCTCATCATTACCATCGTCGAGCATTAAAGTCCATTCTCAGCGGACCGGATGTTTTTCGTTATGCCGATCCGAAAGTAGAGAGTGAGATTTTCTCATCGGTATTCCGGAAATACCGTATCTCGCGAGTGCAATTTCATTAGTCTAATGGATTTCGATGCTCGAGATTGTAATCCGCCATTTTTTTGTGTGTCGCGGCACGGAAAATTGAATAATTTATGAGTTTGAAGTAATGAAAGGGAATTTAACGCGCAGACGGAAGAGTCGGGACACGCTCGCGAGGCGATTCGATAACTTTAAAAATCGGGTCAACTTTGTGCGTGAACGCGGAAGAATAAGAAAGAGAAAAGAAAGAAAAGGAAGGGAGAAGGAGGAGGGAAAGCATCGCGAACAGCGGAAACAATGACGGAATCCGGACTATTCAGGAACAACGCAATTACTCTATCACAATGGACTCGTGGACTACGAGTTTCCCTTGGCACGGCGTCTTGTAGAGACGAACAAACTCGCGAGTACGAAGGACGAACGTCCTTTCGATCCTTTTACCTTTCAATTAATCGTCCGGGGATATTGGAAGGCCTCTCTCGAAATGTCCAACTCGTACGTCGCACGCCAGCGCATCTCGAATTAATCTTAAGCGAAAGTACGACTTTACCGTCTGACGTATTGCACTCATGAATGTTATATAAAAAATTCATACGAGTGCTCTTGATATTTTTATTTATGACGGCATCTCGCACACATATATGTATATAAATCGTTTTATATTAACCACGTAATTTGGAATTTAATTGCGTTTCGGTGACGCTAACGTCAGCCGCAATCGCCTTTTACATATTTTACCGCTTTCGTTAATTAAGTCCTGGCTCGTGCGCGCGCGCGCCTGGGCGCTGCAAATAAAACGAAATCTGAAATGTAGATTTTGCCCACCCGCTGCCGTTATAACGCGCACCAAGGGGAATAATTTACTTTTTCAACAGCTTCGCGTATGTCGCGTCCAAGCTAGTTATACTGCCTTTTCACACAGAATTTCACAGCTCGTAAACACGGGAACGGAGCCGGTGCACGTGGCTGTTGGTTAAATTAGGGCAGGTTCACGATGCGACGCTGAGTGCGTATGTGCATGTGTGCGTGCGTGCGTGCGTGCGTGCGTGCGTGCGTGCGCGTGAGTGCGTGCGTGCGTACGTATGTCGGATCGACTATGGCTGATCGTTTTCCACGCGCGCGTTATTTCAGCGCTTGAATTTTTAGTACCGTTTCTGCTGTTCACGGAGACTAAACTCCCCGGATACTTTATCCGGAAAACGATCGACGAGTCAGTTATCAACCGTTGCGTTACCATCGACATTTCGATTAGAATTAAAATCGAAAAGTTTGGTATAAAAGGATATAAAAGTAATAACGACGTTTCGAAAAAAAGGAGGATAATTCGTACATTCGATTAGAAGATATATAAAGTATACTTAAAACTTGATAGTCATTTTCTGTATAAAATTCGTATTATAGTGATCTGTAAATGAAAAGTTTATATTCCGTTATTATTGCGAAAATAATTAATTTTTATTTAGCATAGATAGATTTTTCTTTAAAGTACTGTGTGGTCAATTAATCGAAAAGAATTATCTGATTTAATAAGTGCGATAGAATGATGGAATGAACTTTTTCTTCTTTTTTTCTTGGAGCTTTTCTCTTCTTAATTCTTAAACCGAGCTTTCTTAAAGAATAAAGTTTTTTAACCCAACCGTAGATATTTTTGCGATAACGCAGCGTATCATTGGATTTTGAATTACGAGCGAGAGAAATCTGACAAACAGGCAGGTACTCCGCGCTGATCGATCCTGCGTGTCCTGCTTAAGTGGAGGACGTCGTTTTGGTGAAACCACATGGAGGGTGATCAAACCGAACAGAGACTAACGGAAGGAAAATACGCTACGGTACACGGTACAGTACATTATGTACAACAGCTCGCAATGAAGAAATAAATCGCTCGCCTCTCTCGGTGAAGCGAAAAATAATTCTCTCTCCTAGCTTCACTCGATAACGCGAAAATTATGGAAATTACATTACAGTGATAAAACTAAAATCGGTATGCTAATATTTAAACGTAGTATCATAACCAGTGGATCATTTCCGCGCATCAAATATTTTCTTTCCCAGATTTTAAATTCTTCTTTATAAAGAGTGGAATTGACGAAAAAAAGACCAACGAGAACGGAACTGCGCAATGAAATTAATGAGAGAGAGTATGGACGGAAAGGGACAAATTACTTTTCTGGCAGACGTTCCATTTCACGCACAATTTAACCGCGCGATCTCCGTAAAAGGCGTTTGCATGATTGCTTTGCTTGCAATATAGTTGAAAAGAAAACGATCAACGGCAGGGAACGGGATCAGGGGAGCGCATCGTCCCGCTTTTACCTAATCACTTTTGTGATGGCACGATTAATCTTTCTGACGAAATCAGAACTGTTACTTAATTGAGAATGTTTGAGTGAAATTATATCGTCTTTACGGAGACTCGAAAAAGCTGAGCGAGGGGTATTCTTTTAAGCTCTGTCAAAACCATTCTTTTTTAGTATCAATTGTTATCGTAATTGACACGCGTATGAATTCCAGTACAAAATATCCAAAAAAATAATATTTTTAGCAATAATCGAATCAAATTAAAAAAAAAATCAGAATTTTATATAATCATTTAAGATATCTTTATCTATATATTTTCTATTGTTACACAAGCGGCCGGAATGATGAGTACTAATCGTATGGCTGACGAAGTTGGTATAATGACGCAAGTTGTCGAATTCTTCGCAATGATAGGATCGCTAATTTTGGTAACGATCACGCTGCCGTTTTCTCTCTGCTGTTTATTCAAAATCGTTCACGAGTACGAGAGGGCGGTCGTTTTCAGGATGGGTCGTTTAAAAGGTGGAGCACGCGGCCCAGGTAAATCTGGCGTAAATTTTTGACTTGTATGGTGGGTACGTCTTACAAATATCTGATTTGATACAGATTGTTCGTAATTGATTTCTTCGTAGGAACTTTTGTCGTCATGCCGTGCATTGACCATTGCGTACGCGTTGATCTGAGGACAGTGTCTTTTGATGTGCCACCGCAAGAGGTACTTACCAAAGACTCCGTCACCGTGAGCGTTGACGCGGTCGTCTACTACCGCATAAAGGAGCCCCTGAGTGCCGTTGTAAAAATCGCAAACTATAGGTACGGAATTTGTTTTCTTCGAAATCGAGACAGGACGAGAGGCGGCAAAGCAAAAAGAAGAGAGACGTTAAGCTTTTAATTTCGCTCGCGGTGCGCAAAACTAATGCTGGTTTCTACTACGATGTTATCTTATTATCATTGTGAATTGCGCTATTATTCTGCATTTCTGGCCGACAGTTTTCACTTTATCCTGACAGTTTTACTCCGGACAAGTTTATTTCCAGCAGCTAGATGAAAGCGTTCTGTACACTTTTTCCTTTGGTTACACGTCGCGTTTCCTTCGTGCTGCTGGCACGGCATTTAAATACTTGATTGCGTGCGCCTTTTTCTCGGTCTTCTCCCCTCGCCGCACCCGCGCTCGCTGTAATCTCTGTCCTTATTTTTGGTCATTGCGAAAATCAGAGACGGACGTGCCCGGTGGTATAATGAAAATAAGCTAATTGTACATGTTAAAAGCTTTTCCAGGTTAACAGCAATGAACTGCATAACGAGCTTTGCTCACAAAGTTCGTGTTGCATAATTTCCGTGTTTATTTTCGTGGATGCGTAGCAAATGTTAAATTAGTCATTAACGCACGTCGTGAGAGAATGTGAGACAATGATAGGATAATGATAAGAAAAGAAAAAAAAATAATATTTTAATTTCTCCGCAAATAGCATTTAATAAGGTGATTTATTATGTAGATTTATAGGCAGAGCATTTTACACGGGCATTTTACGTCATAATAAAAGTGTCAACACGCGTCAGCGCGACGCGCGTATATTACCACGTTGTCCCGATAATGCTTTTAGAGTCACGTCGAAAGGGTCGTGCACGTAGCACGGTTTCTGGTCCGTTAAAAATTACGAGGAACGGTCGACATAGCGTGTCGACGTTGCGGCGGCGTTCCGTGGGGGTTTAACGACTACCAGCAACGGGACTCGTTCACAGTTTGCCGCCCCCGACGGCGGTGGCTGGCGAGTCACGGGCCGGTTGTCATCCCTTTCACTTACTTTTTCCAGCCATTCGACGCGGCTACTGGCCGCGAGCACGCTGCGAACGGTTCTCGGCACGAGGAATCTCGCTGAGATCCTGTCGGAGCGGGAGACGATATCCCACACCATGCAGACCGCCCTGGACGAGGCAACAGATCCTTGGGGAGTCAAAGTCGAGAGGGTCGAAATGTGAATATTTCAGCTCGATATTTTAGTGCGTCGCGATCGAGGAGCGTTCCGTTTTGCCTTGTTACCCATTTGCGTAATTAATTCGTTCGTTACTCAGGGCGACGGCCGACGGGAGACATCGAGAGACGCCCTTTTGCGAAGTTAATCTTTCGCGATCTGTTAACTTCGACGTAGATTTTATCACGACGACGCGCCTTAAAATCGCGATGACGATTGATCTCTTCCACTTGAAGCTACTAATTCCATTAGTAATAGATTATCAAAATGAAATGTTTGATAACTTCTCTTGAGCTTTATATTCGTTCTAACAGCGGTCGTAAGGGAATCGAGAGGATCGTTATGAACGAGCGGTCGATGCAAATCAATGTGAAAATCGCTTGATCGGCAAATAATACGAACGTCGCGCAGCTGCGCAAGGCTGATCCGATAAAAATAATGCGCTAACGAAAATGTATTTCGGCCGGCGGGGATAAAAAAAAAGGGAGCAGAACGAGGCGTGATTTAAAATTTAAATGTGTTCGTCGAATCCGCATTCGCGTAAAACAAGTCGATGGTCGTTTATTTGGCCGCCGCGCGACCGATAAAATTTCACCGGCAGACGGAACGAATCGATACGCTTATATTTATATCGACAAAGTGTTATTAAGGAGTAATTAGATTACAGCTGCATATTGCACCGTGCATAATATGGTGATATTATTATATTATTGTGAATTCGATATTAACTCTTTGCACAGTGATTATCAAGATAGTCCTGTCATAAACATTTATGATGGTTTTGTGCATATTTTTGCGCTCATTGTAAAATAATTATACTCAATAAATAATATTTATCGTATCTTAAATGAAATAATATTTACAACAAAGCTTGTTATTACGCCAGAAAAGCACTATAAAAATTGATATAAAAATAAAGAGAGGAAAACGTTAGTTTATTCAATTAATTAACGCGAAATGCTGCGATAGTCTGCATTTCTGAAAATTATTTTCGAGCGCGAAGGAAACAGAACGGCTATCCGGCGACTACATACGATGTTTATCGTAAAAGTCGTTAGTATTACCTATAATAGCCTCGGCGCCGTTTACGATCGCGCTCTCACGTTCATGAATTTCACCACGACTGCCCAAAACGGATATCTAACGGATGCCTCTGCTTCAGAAAGGACGTCCGACTTCCGGTACAGCTCCAACGAGCCATGGCTACGGAGGCGGAAGCTACGAGGGAGGCGAGGGCCAAAGTGATTGCGGCGGAAGGAGAAATGCGAGCTTCCCATTCCCTGAAAGAGGCCAGTGACGTCATTTCCACGAGTCCCGCAGCTCTGCAGGTAACGCACACACTCGACATGGTATTTTGTCTCCCGCGACCAGACGCTCGACACTAATTATCAAACGTCGCTAATTATCTACTATCATAGATTATTTCCGTACTTTACTTTCCGGTTTCATTTCATTTCTATTAAATCTCGTCTCGCTCGTAACGCTCGGTATTATGAGTTGCCCGGCGCGTTATCACATATTTAAAATTATTCGTCGAACAAAATCAGCATTGCAGTTAGCATACCGTGAACTTTGGATTTATTTTGTACTCATTTTTTTTTTTAACTAACGTATAGCTGGAATGTAATATAATAAAATCGAATAACAGATAAGTCTGATAATTACATCGACACATTTAACATCGTACATCCCTTTTTCAAAAAATATTAAAAAATTTTTACTATCGAAATTTTACAGATAGAACGTAATGAGAAGCTGCATTTTTGGTTGTTTTATTAACAACACGGTATCTCTTACGCTGTGTGACGCAATTAAATAAAAATTCTCGACTGCGAGTCAGATGTTATAATTAGAAGATAGTATGAGAGAGAGAAAGAGAAAAAAAAATAATATCTTCTACTCTTGTAGTTGCGATACCTGCAAACTCTGAACAACATATGTGGCGAGAAGAATTCGACGGTCATATTTCCGCTGCCGGTTGAGTTCCTGGCACCTTTATTCTCCACCAACTTGCGCGATCGTCAAGAAACTGCACAGGCGGGATCCTTATATAAGGCGGAAGATAAACATTAAAAATAATGATCCTCTTTCCTACTGCAAGACAATTATTATTACAGCACAAAGAGAATACGCGATGTTGTTACTTTGAAAATAACTACGTGAAGAAAATAATTAAATGAAGAAAGAGAGGCAAAAAGATACACAGTAACATTATTATTACACACACACACACACACACACACACACACACACACACACACACACACACACACACACACAACAATATATATATATATACACACACACACACACACACACACATATACATGTATAAATATATAATATTTCTTTACAATATTGGATGAAGGAAATATACGATATATAATTGACAAATATTACGTAATGTAAGATCGAAAATCCGAAGGGCCACGCTACGTCTGCTACGTTCTACGAATATCGTTTTTCCGATTGACATCGTTTGCATCTGACGATTTGCCAACTAAGACAAATTAATTACGCAGTTCGCGAGAGACGGCCGCGCCAGATGGAGATTCGATAAACACGTGCTCCGATAAGATCGCTTTGAAAACACGCCTTCGTTTAACTAAAACCCTCGCCCTCGTATAAACGATTCCACACCAGGTATCGTACACGTATTTTCCCACATTGGGAAATGGTCCGGCCGGTCGGTCGACGATGGAAGTTTACGATCGGCGCCATCGTGATTTGCATACGATCCGTCTCTCTTCGCGAATGATGTTACTAAATACCGTAAAGTTCGCTTAAACTCTGTACGTTCGTCGATCACTGTTTTATTATCTTTCGTTTCCGTTGGACATTCCGAACAGTCTGTGGGTTTTACGCTCGATTGCGTAAGATCCTTTTTAAAACTACGGTCTCTCAAAGTCTCAGACTGTGACTGTGAAGAAAAAAAGGAACGATCGAAACTCGAAAAAGCTTTTACATTTTAATGAAATCAAGTAGCAACGTTAAAGCGTTTCCGTGTGATATTAATATCTCACTGAGAAAGTCCTTAATGAGCTTGGACGTAATTGAGTTTTTAATAGACGTAATTTCCAAAGGAATTTAACGACACGTATTTTTATTATATGTCTCTATTGGATCGGAAGCCAGGCTTCGGGTTTTTACGATTCATCGATGATACGAAGCGCACGAGTTTCGTTAATCGAAGTCTCAAAGATAAATTCCTCTCTCAGCCTGTCAAAATCTGAAAAACGCAATGCATCATCCACGGTACACAGAATACCAAAGGTTAAA